ATATTCATTTTTTACAACAAGAGCAAAAGTTTTCTCGTAATCCTACCATATTGTTGAGAAAATCCCTGTCCACTATTCTTTCTTTATATTGCTTAATTGATCTTCACACTATGTTTTTGCTTTGTCCACCCAACTAGACACCTATTTGTCCTTTACCTGAGGTAGGGGAACCAAGTCCCAAGCATCGTTCTTATCAAAGGTCGAATAACTGCCTTCTTGTAGGAAAAGCTCATAACCTTGTGATGGCAGCTAATAGGAAAAACATAGTGAATGACAAGGAATAATTTTTTTTTTCTTCCGTTTTTTTGGAAACAATTTTACTTGCAATTCAGAAGGATGATTGTTTTGGCTACCGTAATTTCAAGAAAATTATTGATATATGCTATAATTTGATGTTGATTTCTTATAAGATTGCACAAACCAAATTTTTAACTTCATCAATCGTATTGCATTTGTACTCCAAAAATTGTCTATCCAATTGAGGTATTAATGCTCATAAATTATTCTAGACTCATGCTTATAATATTCCGGGATACAAGAATTGTATTTCAATGGCAACATAACATTTCTACAGTGATACTCTATATAAAAATAACCTCTATATAGTCATAAAAAAATTTTGTTCCAACTTGAGCCGGTTATAAATAAGATAAACTTCACATTATAATAAGTTATATTTTTTTTAGGTTTCTTCTTAAGGAACTTGCCTCCACATAGTGATACTTATCTATAAATTGCAAAAAATATATATTATGTTATATTAAAAGTTTAAGTTGAAATAAAATATTTATCTAAAGTTGTTTGGGACAATGATTTATAGTTGATTTGCTAGAGGAAGAAGGAAATATATCACTTGAATTGGTTGAAAATTGCATGAGTTGTGTTATAGTACAATGTATTTTCAAAATTTACTTTTAGAGAAAAACATTAAAGAGAATGCAAAATTTGACTTTAAGATAACTGTACATATTTTTCCAACACTACTAACTATATATATATACTTGTTTTTTTGAAACTATGTCTATCTTTTTTATCAATTTCTATACTTTAGATTTGATATGTTCTATTAATTAATTATTAATATAGTAGATACTTTTCCTGTATACCCCTTGTACTAAGATAACTAAGACAAAATAATAATTTTTGTAACTATACTTTTAGTAACTTATACCCTCCTTAAGTAATAAATTTAGTTTGATCCCACCATTATAATTATAGAGAGGTGTTATTGGATTAGGTAACTTATATAAAATCAATATTCAAAAGAAATGGTTAAGTTTTTTCTTTATTGATATTTCAGACTCTTTAATGGTTATTTACATTACGCATTTTGCAATTTGCAGGCGGCTAAATATCAGTGTTTTAAAACTCGGCCCAGCCCGATTGGTTGAATCGGGTCAACTAGGACTCGAGACCTTCACTAGGCCAGGTTACCAATTTTCCTATTCATTGCAAATCCTAGAGATTAGGACAACGATCGATGAACAATTGGTTGCTGAGATGTTGGGGCTTTTGAAGAGAAAGGGCCAGTGAGTCAAAAAGTTGTGACATAGGTAATTTCCGGTGAGTGAAACAACCAGAAATCACAAAAATGATTAGCTGTTGTCGGCGATTGGCGAGGCGAATGGGGTGGGGTGGGATGGGTTTTGGTTAGGAGGCTGAAGGGAGAGTTTTCATGGTGATGGGGTGTGTTGTTGACGTTGCAAACATGCCCTATTTGGCCTTGGTTGTCGACGCTAATGGAGTAATTTGGGGTGTTTTTACAGGATTTCAAATTGTAGGGACTTATCTGTAATTTTAGGGGTGTTTTTGTTGAATTTCAAACCTTTTGTCATGATGATGTCATCGGTTTGACTCGCTAGTTAAACCGGTTCAATCGGGACCTAACCACTCTGTCGGGTTTCACCTCGACCAGGTTTTAAAACCTTGCTAAATATATAGGCTCTGTTTGGTTCATTATTCTGATAGTTTTTAGAATAATCTTTTGAAAAAAAAGTTAAATTGGTCGGGTATTACGATGTAGGATTTGGAAATTAACAAAAATATCCCCTATGTTTATTTATTTACTAAACACCTCTATAATAAAATATTAAAAGTTAACAAAAATACCTCCAACCCACTCATTAAATACAGACAGTCGGCCACCACCGCTGGACGGTGGCCGGAGTGTTTTTGCAATTTCTAAAAAAAATATTTGGGGGTGTTTAGTTAAATTAACAAATTTAAGAGGTTTAAAAGAAATTAAAAAATATAGAATAATATTTTGGGANTGAGAAAAGTCAAACTCATCATTAATTCTCTTATCTGTCTTTGAGTATTATTATTTAATAATATCTGAGTATTATAATAGTGAAATCTTAGTTTAAAAAAAAAAAAAAAAAGGTGATGATGACAGCAATAATTGCTAAAAAGCTACCATGCAGACGAGAATTTTATTATTAAAACGTGGCATCATTCTATAACTTAAAAACCAGACCCCTCCCTCTCTTTTCTTCATTTTGTCTTCTTCACCCTCGTTCCTCTCAAATTATTCATATATTTTTTTCTAAATTAAACAAAAAATAAAAAATTGTCCATTTTTATATAGAATTCATGCAATTAATCAAAGAATTAACTGGGCAGTTAATAAAACGGTATATTTTGGATAACAGCAGAGAAGTTGTCTTGTCTCTCTGAATATCCTCATTAATTAATTACTTCTGCACGTACCTATAAAGAGAATTCCAGTGAATTCAATTAATGGCCATTAATTGTTCCCATACGACCCATTGAAAAGCTTACTGACAAAGCTTTTTAGAATTTCCAAGAGGGGGGATGAGCTAATTCATTATATTAAATTTTGATTTCCCATCACTCACCAATTTTTTTTCAATTTTTATTTTCTACTCCACAGACGCTGTGTTTTTCATTTCTTGTGTAAAGTAAAGTCTGTTTGGTTGGCTGGAAAATTTATTTTTCTTTTCTCTGACTAGGGTTTCTAATATCTAGGCACATGCTGAAAGCTAATTGATCTGACACTTTGACATTCTTATTACGTTTTATTTAATTTCATTGGCAAAAGTACGTGCAATTAATTTTTAGTTGAAAGTAAGTATTTTATATTAACTTCATCTAGTTGATTTACAATTAATAAAACTCAAATTGAAAAAAATATTTAATTTGTTGCAAATATTGAAAATATGACAAAGGCAATAGTGACCCAATTGTGGAAAACTTGAAATCTCAGCTGACAAAGGCAAAAATAAAGGGGTAAAGTTATTCTCCTTCTCTTTTTATCTTTGATTTTAACGTCACTTTTTTTTGGCTCTCTTTTTACCAAATAATAATTTAACTTTCTTCTCTCATACAAGCAAACCTTTCAATTCAAGCTCTCAACCAACTGGAAAAAGTGAAAATTTATTCCATTATTTCTTCCTGAATTTTATCACCACGTCCTTTTTCTTTCTCTTTTGCCTCCTAAAGAGAAGTTCTAAGGCAATCCCTTCTTAAAAAGGTTCTGGCTTTTGCCCTAGAAATAAACCCAACTAAAAGTTAACAACTAAAGTTACGAGAGAACCAGACTCAGAAGCTCACCATTTTTGGTGGTTTTATTAGAATATATACAACATGCCCACTATGTTATTGTTGTTTGATTTAGCAAAAATTCAGTGCAGTTCGCTGTTCATGACTCGTCGTTTAGCAAAGAATAATGGTAGAAAGGAAAGTGTGTGAGTTTTTTTCATAATATTGCAAAATTTATGCTTTTAGACCATATTTGAAAGTGTGGACATAACTTACTAAAATTTTGCCATATTGGCATCAAATGATGTTACTTTGTCTTTCACTTTACACATATATGATAAGCTTCTACTCTAGAAGATTTTGCTAGTTTTAGGACTAAGAAAAGTGAGAGGCTATTTATATAAGGTCATAATCGACTCGCTGTGACTGGACGTTTTTGTGAGAGCTAAGAGCCGTATCTCTCCTAATAAGTTATAGTTCCTTTCAAGAATTATCTATGTATGGACGTCCACTTTTTATTTTATCTTCAAAATCTACTCGCTAATTACCACTGAAAGACAAATGATGTTGATAAACCGTTGATGGGAGAAACGGACTGGTCATAAATTCCTTATCTCAATAAGACAAAAATTTAACGTTTTCAATGTTGCCTTTTAGTGTTAAATGGAGCCGATAAATTAACCATTTACATACACTAGCTAACGAGATCATCCGGTAAGAGGTTTTAAGTTAAATTCTGCATATACTGAAGAACTTGCAAGAAACATTACATCAAATTTTCTTGTGGTTCTTCATGAATTAACCTGCAGTGCAGAAGGTGCAGCATATGAATTGATGACTAAAAAACGTATAGATTGGTCCATTGTATCAAATCATAACTAGTAGTAATGCTTTATTAGCACATGAGACTTGCTAAATGTTGGTTCATTATTTGGCCAAATATATGCCAACGAAATAAAATTGTGTACTTGTAGAAAAAGAAACATCTGACTAGAAAACAAAATTTTGGTAAGAATCTTACTATACAAACACTTTATATTCTTGTCTTCCCCTATTCTTCTCTAGACTTTTCCTTGGCTTTTATCAATCATTCTGTTAGAATTTTCTGCTCATCCATGGAATTATTTTGTGGGGATACTACTGCCCACTGCCACATTATCAAGAAATTTCGGTGGTTATAAACTATCCACTTAATAAATAACACAATAATTGAGATTAAACATAGATGTAAAGTCAATATTAATTATTATTTTGCAGTTTTATTAAATTAGGTTACTGAGTAATAAGTCATCTATTAATCAAACAATTTGTTAAAGGTCTGAAAGTGGAATGAGAGTAAAGGGCGTAAAAGATTTCGACTTTTGGGTTGGTGTTTTCTTTTTGTAATTTGAACAAAAAAAATTTATGCCTTTAATTCCCAGTTGGTAGCTAGTTTATATTCTGCTTTCCATTGTTTTTGTTGATGAAGTGTAAAGCATTAACAATAAGGCAGCAGAAAGAAAACAGAAATATAATCCCTTGTTGGAAATTATATAAAATATAATTGATAAAATGTAAAGTGCTCTCTCCATTACAATTACCAAGGATCACTCGATACTTTTAAAGATAGTTAAAGGGTCGTCACTCTCTATCTAAAGTTGTCTCTTTCTCTCTCTCTCTCTCTCTCGACTGCAAAACATACAAAATCAATTAGATTTCATATTTACGTAGGAATAAAATATTTTGATTTGGATCTCACAGCTTGATTGCTAGCTAGATAGTAATAAGGACATTGGCTTTTTCTCACCCTCTTCCTTTTGTTGCTTTCTGTCTTTCTTGTCTCCTTGTCTTTCTTTACCTCTCTTTTTCTTTTCTTTTTCTTTTTAGCTTTCCTTTTTCTCTCTGATTTTCTCAGCGGGTACCTGATTCTTTTCACCAGCTCGCTTGAGAGAGATTTTAATCATTTCAAAATGAGTAGTTTAGGGAGACGATTTCAATGTGGCCTCCCCAAGGTGAACTCCAGATTAGGCTTCTTGGGGCTCGTCCCTGAAAGATTTGGTGAGCTTACATCTGATATTCCGTCGTAGCTCAAGCACTTTGGATCCATATCCTTCCCAACCCAGAAACAAACAAATAATTAATTATAATATTCAGAAGATAAGTATGTGAAGATAGGAATCAAAGGACATTTTGACTCAGAGAACGATAGAATATTTATCAATGAAAAAAGAAACAATGCTATAGTACAATACATCTGAAAGAAATTAAAGAAAGAAAGAAAAAAGCCTGCAAAAGTATACATCTCTCGTTTGCTTTCCTACTGCCTATACTATTAATTCCTAAACTTCATTATTGTTCATGAGTATTGCATTATTCTTATGCCATTAAACTATACTTTTGATTTGACCCTAGCTACTTTTAACTCTCATTCATCTTCAGAATTTATCAAATCAAACATCAAAAGCTGGCCTTCATGAGTCAAATATTGGATTAGATTTTGAGTTAATAGGGCAAATGAGATTAATTATGAAGGGGACAATAAAGTCTGCAATTTCAGGAATTAAGGCACTTTATTATCTTGGACTTACGAGAGTGACAAATTTATCCCTTAGATCTTTTACTCTTTGACCATCAATATTAATTTCTTCCATTTATATGAAACTCGAAGTTTGAAATGAAATACCTCAAGAGAAGGGAGGTTTCCATTGGAATCCTTTTGTTTCCCATGCAGCCAAGCTTCCCTGCTACAAAACAACACATTGAGGGAATATTTCCAATCAGTGGAAGCCATGCAGAAGAGAAAAAGAAAAAAAAAGATTAAAAGAAAAGCTATCTTTTTACTGTCTTGTTTATAGTTCCTCATCACTTTACATATTATGCTGATTGAAAAAAAGTTGAAGCCACCCCCATGTGATTGCCCATTACCCTAACAACAAACTGAAGGGAAGTTTCAAAGATCATAGCTTTAATACCAAGATTTCCCACTAATGGGTCCATCCATCAAAGGGTTTAGATAGCTAGCTTTGAAACTAAGTTTTCTAAATTGTAGGACCCATTTACTAACCCTAAAATCTGGGCCCACAAAATCCAGAGGAAAGAGATATCTCCATTTTTTAGGTGGATTTGTCAAATAAGGATTCCCTTGTCTTGGAATGGTAGGAGAGAGTTGGTGGTTTCTTTTACTTTCCTTTTCACCCACTACTAGAAGAGATTGTATGTATATAATTACCCCATCATGGAGGGCTCAGTGTTCACGGTCGTGGACTGACAGAACAAACCAGAGAAATCATTTCTTTCTCTTTTTGTGATTTATTGCATGAAACTATGTTTGTATGTGAGTGCATCAGTGAGTGTGTGGTGGGAGAGAGAGAGAGACGAAGAGGAAGAGGAAAGATGAGATTTTTATTCATATATTTATTTATATTGAAGATAAAATGTTCTTCCAGTATTTAAACTTTTTAAGCAAATATGATATATTCTAGGCGAACGTTGTTATCAAACATCTATATTTTTAAGGAACAAAGTTCAAGGACAAGAGGAGAACGAAGAAGATATGTTTTAAAAGTGTTATAGTCATCAACTCTCTATTGTTTCGTTTTGAACATTTTACTTATTTATTTGGAAAATGACTTGCGCCAACCATTAACTATGGCTGTTCATATAAATGAGAAAGGGATTAGATCTTTCTAAGAATTCTCAAACAAAAAGAATTGGTTTCGGAAGTCAAAAAATTTCTTAACCGACTACTGCACGTAGACTTTATTGTTCACAATATCAAACGATCAAACACTAAGTCAAAGACTTCGGAATTTTTTTTACCCCATTTAGGGAAATAAGTGAGGTTTGAAAATCGGTTTTTCTATTTTTTATTTGTGGGATTTTTATTTCCTAGTAAACAACCAATGAACTGAAGCACAAAAGTTAGAGAAAACATAGAAGTTTCACCTTGAAGAATTGCTCCAGAGGCCGTGATATTCCTTCTCTTGATGAACATTTGGTCTTCCCTGCTGCATAGGTAACTCGGGCCTTCTTGGGTGTTGAATATCAAACATCAAATCTTCAGAAGTATCACCGGATGATCCATTTTCAAAGGCATCTGATTGTCCTGCATAAACAATATTAAAGCCCCATTTATAGAATATAAATATGATTAACTACANGACTGCAAAACATACAAAATCAATTAGATTTCATATTTACGTAGGAATAAAATATTTTGATTTGGATCTCACAGCTTGATTGCTAGCTAGATAGTAATAAGGACATTGGCTTTTTCTCACCCTCTTCCTTTTGTTGCTTTCTGTCTTTCTTGTCTCCTTGTCTTTCTTTACCTCTCTTTTTCTTTTCTTTTTCTTTTTAGCTTTCCTTTTTCTCTCTGATTTTCTCAGCGGGTACCTGATTCTTTTCACCAGCTCGCTTGAGAGAGATTTTAATCATTTCAAAATGAGTAGTTTAGGGAGACGATTTCAATGTGGCCTCCCCAAGGTGAACTCCAGATTAGGCTTCTTGGGGCTCGTCCCTGAAAGATTTGGTGAGCTTACATCTGATATTCCGTCGTAGCTCAAGCACTTTGGATCCATATCCTTCCCAACCCAGAAACAAACAAATAATTAATTATAATATTCAGAAGATAAGTATGTGAAGATAGGAATCAAAGGACATTTTGACTCAGAGAACGATAGAATATTTATCAATGAAAAAAGAAACAATGCTATAGTACAATACATCTGAAAGAAATTAAAGAAAGAAAGAAAAAAGCCTGCAAAAGTATACATCTCTCATTTGCTTTCCTACTGCCTATACTATTAATTCCTAAACTTCATTGCTGTTCACGAGTATTGCATTATTCTTATGCCATTAAACTATACTTTTGATTTGACCCTAGCTACTTTTAACTCTCATCCATCTTCAGAATTTATCAAATCAAACATCAAAAGCTGGCCTTCATGAGTCAAATATTGGATTAGATTTTGAGTTAATAGGGCAAATGAGATTAATTATGAAGGGGACAATAAAGTCTGCAATTTCAGGAATTAAGGCACTTTATTATCTTGGACTTACTAGAGTGACAAATTTGTCCCTTAGATCTTTTACTCTTTGACCATCAATATTAATTTCTTCCATTTATATGAAACTCGAAGTTTGAAATGAAATACCTCAAGAGAAGGGAGGTTTCCATTGGAATCCTTTTGTTTCCCATGCAGCCAAGCTTCCCTGCTACAAAACAACACATTGAGGGAATATTTCCAATCAGTGGAAGCCATGCAGAAGAGAAAAAGAAAAAAAAAGATTAAAAGAAAAGCTATCTTTTTACTGTCTTGTTTATAGTTCCTCATCACTTTACATATTATGCTGATTGAAAAAAAGTTGAAGCCACCCCCATGTGATTGCCCATTACCCTAACAACAAACTGAAGGGAAGTTTCAAAGATCATAGCTTTAATACCAAGATTTCCCACTAATGGGTCCATCCATCAAAGGGTTTAGATAGCTAGCTTTGAAACTAAGTTTTCTAAATTGTAGGACCCATTTACTAACCCTAAAATCTGGGCCCACAAAATCCAGAGGAAAGAGATATCTCCATTTTTTAGGTGGATTTGTCAAATAAGGATTCCCTTGTCTTGGAATGGTAGGAGAGAGTTGGTGGTTTCTTTTACTTTCCTTTTCACCCACTACTAGAAGAGATTGTATGTATATAATTACCCCATCATGGAGGGCTCAGTGTTCACGGTCGTGGACTGACAGAACAAACCAGAGGAATCATTTCTTTCTCTTTTTGTGATTTATTGCATGAAACTATGTTTGTATGTGAGTGCACCAGTGAGTGTGTGGTGGGAGAGAGAAAGAGACGAAGAGGAAGAGGAAAGATGAGATTTTTATTCATATATTTATTTATATTTAAGATAAAATGTTCTTCCAGTATTTAAACTTTTTAAGCAAATATGCTATATTCTAGGCGAACGTTCTTATCAAACATCTATATTTTTAAGGAACAAAGTTCAAGGACAAGAGGAGAACGAAGAAGATATGTTTTAAAAGTGTTATAGTCATCAACTCTCTATTGTTTCGTTTTGAACATTTTACTTATTTATTTGGAAAATGACTTGCGCCAACCATTAACTATGGCTGTTCATATAAATGAGAAAGGGATTAGATCTTTCTAAGAATTCTCAAACAAGAAGAATTGGTTTCAGAAGTCAAAAAATTTCTTAACCGACTACTGCACGCGGACTTTATTGTTCACGATATCAAACGATCAAACACTAAGTCAAAGACTTTGGAATTTTTTTTGCCCCATTTAGGGAAATAAGTGAGGTTTGAAAAACGGTTTTTCTATTTTTTATTTGTGGGATTTTTATTTCCTAGTAAACAACCAATGAACTGAAGCACAAAAGTTAGAGAAAACATAGAAGTTTCACCTTGAAGAATTGCTCCAGAGGCCGTGATATTCCTTCTCTTGATGAACATTTGGTCTTCCCTGCTGCATAGATAGCTCGGGCCTTCTTGGGTGTTGAATATCAAACATCAAATCTTCAGAAGTATCACCGGATGATCCATTTTCAAAGGCATCTGATTGTCCTGCATAAATAATATTAAAGCCCGATTTATAGAATATAAATATGATTAACTACATTGTTACTATCCTTCTTAATCATAAATCATATATATATATATATATATAAACACCAGAGGCGAAACCTGAAGAAGCTGCTGCCCTATCGGTGGTCTTCACAGTTCGATACATCTGCAAAAAAATTAGAAAATAAAATAAAATAAACCCATATCAGGCTTAACAAATAGTGGATTAGAATAAGAAAGAAAACGTTAATATTTATAACCGGATAAAGAACAAAACAAGAAATGGACCAAGATACTGTTTTTAAAACTACCGGACATGGTCTGATACAGTGCACTGAGTAGAATACAAACAGTAAAAAAGTTGGAAGATGAATATGAAACTACACACGGAAGCATCTATGCTCATATAAATGCATGCAAAAGAGCTAGAGGTGAAAGTGGTTAACCATGGTAAAAAGAAAATGGGTTAAACTAACCCATCTGAAGAAGATATCATTGAGAAATGATAGTGTTCTGTACTTGTGATTATTTTCTTCCTTATCTCCTGTGCAAGAGAAAACGTTTTTAAAAGAAAACGGGACTGACTGAGCGTAAACCTGCCTCGCCTTGGTTATGACTTATTTTGAATTTTTTGGGTTTGTCTTATTTGTTTCCTGAAATCGATGGTTCACTCTCTCTCTCTCTCTTGTTATTGAATTTATATTTTCTTTTTCTCTTACTTGAGGTGGTTCATTCTTCCAAGCAAAAAGCTGTTTATTAGCTTGCAGGACCATCAGATCTAGTAGAAAAAGAAGTGCTAAGGATTTGAGAGACCCTCTGCAGGGAAACATTGGAATTTGGAATCTATATGCTATTTTCACCTTCCAGTAATGTAGGCTCTTAACATACAAATTGAGCTAACAATAACCTCCATTAGCGCTGCATCAAGGACTTTAACAGTTGAAGGAGAGATGAAATTCAAGACTGGAAATTTATGTAAAATACTTCAATATAAATATGTATCTAGAATTTACATTTAAAGGGAACCCTTAAAAGGAGAATAAGAAGAGAAACAGAGAAAGAGGGGTTTGATTATTACCTGTAAGTGAGATTTAACATGAGCCAAGGTAAGATCTTTGACATCCATTAGTTCAAGAACTGATTTTGGAGTAGCTCCTGAACCCATTAAAGAAGAATATGAGTAAAAAACTTATCTTGTCTAAAGATGCAAGAGAAATAATATATGTAAAAGATAATACGAGGGAAAAGATAAGAAAAGGAGATAAAAGAAAAGAAAGTAAAAGAGAAAAAAAAGGAAGATAGAAAGAAGGAAACAAAATGAAGCATACTTTCATGGCCACCCAATAACTCAACAGCATGAACAAAGCGAGCATGAAGTGTGGTTGTCCACCGCATCCTTGGTGCTCTCATGCTGCGTTTGGCCGGAAACCTCGACATAAATCTCGATCTCATCAGCCCTTGAGACTGATAGGAACTCAAACTTGAGGTACTAGTGTTGTTAGTAACCAAAGAAGGAGGAGAAGTAGCCAAAGAAGAATCCAAAGGTTGTTGAGGAAATGGGAAAGGAGAAGAAGCAGCAGGATGATTTTGGTAAACAGGAATTCCCCTTATGGGTCTCAAGAAACCAATCTCTTGGCTGAGTCCTTGTTGTTGTTGTTGTTGATGTTGATGATGATGATGGTGATGGTGATGATGAGGATGAGGATGAGGATGATGATAAAGAACTGGGTTGTGGAGTTGGTTTTGGTGGTGAGTAGGGTACTGGTTTTGGGGAAAAGAGTGAAAAAGGCTACCATTACAATTGTTATTGTTCTGAAGGATGTGAAACTGGTTGGGGTTGGACTCTGAAACCCTTGGGTTCGATAAGGAAAGCTCAAAACAACTATCTGGTTTAGCCATTGAAGACACGGAGTTCCTCGAGTCCAAAGCTCTCTTCCAAAATCCCAAATCCATCTCTTCTTCTGTAGTACTAGTTCTTCTCCATGTTGATGTTGGTTTGGTGTTTGGTGGACTGATTTGCAGAGACAAATCTGGTTGAGCTGGGAATAACTCCATCTCAAAACCCCTTCAAGCTCTCGTTTGCACACCTTTCTCTCTCCCTTCCACTCTTTCTCCTTGTTTATAAGTATCCTCAAGAAAAAGAGTGTTTTAAGTGATCTAAGTGAAAGAGTTGATGATTTTTGAGGTATGGAATTGTTTGAGATGGGATTTGATCAATTTTAAGAGCTAAGAGGAGTAGTTGCAGAGATTTGAGATTGAGAAGAAAAGAAGAAAGAAAGAGAGAGAAAAGAAAGAGAAGAAATGACAAGGTATGAGAAGTGAATGGTTGTTTCTTTTGTGTGAAGTATATGTGAGAAAATGACACTTGAGGGGGTAATAGCAAAAGAGGAGAGAGAGAGAGAGAGTTTGTGTTTCTTTTGTGGACGTGGGGTTAGGGTACTAGGGTGAGAAAGCAAGAAAAAGGATACTAAAAAATAAAGTAAATTGAAGTCTAGGGACTTATTCTTTTTTATTTTATTTTATTATTTCTTTTCTTTTTAGACCAGAAAAAAAAAAAAAAAAAGATTTTAATGTTAAAAAAGCTTTAACGTGTGCATTTGTCTCTCAACAAGTTAAATATACTTTTTACTTAACTTATTACTTACCTTTCTAACCCACACATACTCTTCTTTTTCTTTCTCTTTACTGAAACCTATGCCTCTTGCTCCTTTTCACAAAACCCTAAATTCAACAATATTTTTATTATTTATTTTTTTAATTAATTAATTACTCCAGTCACTGTTTTCCACAGCCTAGGGTTTGTTAAACCCACATTCACATTCACAACCACTCATTGTGATATGATGAACCCATAATTTTTACATATCAAATCACTTTAGTTTCTCGGCCCCCACTCCCACTCCCGACTCCCTTTTCATTTTCTCTTTCATTTTCTCCATATTTTTAAACATCTTCAGTATATAGAAATGTCCTCTAAGTAAAGTTAACTAACAAGAGCATTGAAAAGTCAAATTTACTTTTCTTTATATAAATTAATAACAACCCAAATGAGTTGATTTTTTTTTTTTTTAGAGAAAAAAATAATAATAATATTAAGTTATTTAATTTTTCAAGTCGTGTTTTTGGTTCAGTCAGAGTCAATGAGTGGCTCTCGATGTACCATCGAGGCATCGACAAAATGTTAAGAGAGATTAAATCAGCAGGAAGACAATGTAGAGCCTATCTTAGACATAGCATATTATACAAGGACATGTTTGGCTGGCAGGGTTAAACCATGTGGAAATTAATGCTGCTATAAAAGTCGTAATGTTCAATTAATTTAATACATTTACTCACATTTATAAATGTTTTTTTTATTTATCCAAGAACCATGCCATGGCCTAGACAATTTGACAAACAAAAGATTTTATACATTTTTATGGTGTTCTTTGGGATTTTTTTTTTTCTTTTTTCTTTTTTAACTAGCTTTAAGTTGCTCAATTAATGCAGTATCAGTCTTCTCCGCATAAACCATTCATGTATTTATGGAGACTTAGTTTTTAAGATGGATCAATTCCTATGGTAGCTTTCTGTTCATTATTGCTTAATAAAAGTTTCTACATTTTTGGATTACTTCCCTTTTGTAAAGAGATCCTTTTTCATGAATAATAAGTCCTTTCACTTATATTTGTGATGCCCTGTTGTTAATTTTATTGTTCATTTCAGATTAAGAAATGCCAACACTTTAATCTTCATTAATTAATTTCTCATCACTGAATGCATAATTATAATATATTATCTTTCCCTTCTTGTCATTTTTGTTTAAAAAGAATCTAATATTTTAATTTCTACGACACAAAAAAAAAAAATATAATAATAATAATAAATAAATAGGACTGTATAGATTCAACGATAGTGGCTCAGGTTTGGTTGTGACCACCAGAGATATTATTTTATATCCATAATTCAACTTGTTTTATAACCTTAAGTCCTTTATTTTGTCCAAAATATTATGTGAATTTTTTGATATATTTATTAATAATTAAATGGGTACCAGGCAGATCTTTCACGTTATTTCTAATTAGGGAAGGTTGCATCAAACATACCAAGATTTTGTCGATATCACTCAAAGATAGGGACTAGCTATGAAATTTGATAATATTTTTAAAAAATGTTTTCTAATTTTCTTTGTTCCAACTTCTAATGTTGGCATATGCTTTTGCTATTTCTAAATAATAAACATGGTAGAAACATATTGATTTGCATGTTTTTATGATTGCAAGTTCACAATAGAAAGAGTATTCAATTTGGTAGATCATCAAAGGTACACACTGTATCATATCTTCTATACATTAAGCTAATAATCTTATTAAAAGATATGTATTTAAAAAAAAAAAAAAACAACTAATCACATTAATTGTTAGATTATTTAAAAAAAAAAAAAGAGTAATCTATACATAACCTAATTCTTGTATTACATACAATAAGATGATACGTCCAATCTCCCTCACCAACTCATATATACGAGTGGATATGTAATATTGGAAAAAAAAATTCTTGAGCCTCAATATATTTAGTAATTAGATAAAAAATATTTGGCGTTAAACTAGACTACAAAATATAAATATCATAGGGGGCGTTTGTCTAAGCTTATGAAAATTAGCTTATAACAACCATTGCTTATAAGCTAAAATTAACTTATAAACATTTGAAATTTTAAGCAATTACGTGTTTGGTTAAGTACTTATAAGTGACTGATAAGTTTGACGTGTTTGGTAAAATGTGCTTATAAGTATATTTTATTATAAATTACTAAAAAAGGTACTACATTAACAATGGCATACTATGAATTTTAAAATTAAACAGGTAATGTGGTAATATCTTGATCAAACTACTTATAGCAAAGTGCTTATAAGCCAAAAAAAAAAGTACCTCCCCCCAACTTATTTTTTTTAGCTTATAGCTCAAAAAAATTATAAACAAACAGGTCACTTAATTTTAGAGCTTACAAGCAAGTTTGACCAGCTTATAAGCTTAGACAACACCCCCATAATATCTTCATACTAATATGTTTGTCTGAGCTTATGAAAATTAGCTTATAAGCAACAAGTACTTATAAGCTAATTTTAGCTTATAAGTATTTGAAATTTTAAGCAGTTACATGTTTGGTTAAAGTATTTATAAGTAACTGATAGTAGTTGACGTGTTTGGTAAACTGGGGCTTTAAGTACATTTTATTATAAAATAACTAAAAATATATTACATTAAATAAGGGTGTACTATGGAATTTTAAATTAAAACATGATAATGTGGTAATATACTTGGTCAAACTACCTATAGCCAAAAAAAAAAAAAAAAATTAACTCCCCCCAACTTATTTTTTTTTTGCTTATAAGCTCAACTTATAAGCTGAAAAAAATTATAACTAACGACAGCTTAATTTTAGAACTTATAAGCTAGTTTGACCAGCTTATAAGCTTAGACAAACACTATTTCTTCTTGATTTTGCCAGGATATTTTGTTTCCTTTATCTTGAATCTTGATTTTTTTATTTTCTCATTAATAAAACAATTGTTGCAATTGTATAATAAAATTTGCACATTCCTCTCTACACTGTAATAAGACATGGTTTTACAAATTGATACGGTCAAATAAAAAAATGGGTATGTGCAAGATAAAAATAAATTTAGTTCGATCCATAACTATGTATTACGATGTTTTTTTCCTCTAAAGAAATTTCCATATAATTTTCTTGAAAGGGAATGTTTATTTGGTGACATATTAAGTGATTGAAATAGCTCAGATACAAAAACCTTTCTAGTTTGTGTGATAAATCTTTTTAAACGTGAGACCGTCAATTAAAAGGGTTCTTATACAAAAATAAAGTTCTTTTTATTTTCCTGTAAATAAATTATACAAATAGGCATGGTTTCTACTTTTCTTTTCTTCATCACTGTATTAGAATTATTGAGTTAACTACAAGTAAAAGTTTTTGTGCATATGTATATATATAGATCTTAGTAAGTAAACTTGACCTTCTAAAATTTATGTTATATTAAGTATTTGAGGGACGGAATAAAAACAAAGATGAACATATTTAGTTGGGACTTTGGGAGGAATTTTTTGATTGTATAAAATAAGAAATTATTTAATTAAAATATTAAACGTGTATTGATAAAGTGAGTGAAGATTATAATTAAAGGTGTAGTTCAGCAATTGTAGCCGCAGATTTGATCTTGATTTTCATATTAATTTAATGAAATTTGCTTTCAGTTACATATTTTCTGTCTAATATGCATAATATATTTCGTTTTGATTAATAATAGTAAAAAATTTGTTCATTTCTAATAGAATTTCTTGCAATGATAACTTAAGAGTTTCCAAAAGTTTTAATAGCGGACATCGGTCACTATTTATGGGTTTTGACATGATAGAAAACCTAATCAGAAAACTATCACATATATTTGCTGGCTCCAGCAATACCATCACTTTTCTCTTCTGCATATAAATGCCCTTTACTCTCCCTCAAACTTTTTTAGATTCTCAACGTTACCCTTATTCTAACAATATTATCCAATTAATTAAGCTAATCCACAGTTAGCTTTTTGAATTTAATCTAAGAACACTTGATTTTATTCTTCTATGAACTAGATTCAGGGTTTAATTAAAATAATTAACTCCCGTGATTATGGTGAAGGAAAGATCAAGTTAATTTGAATGCATTTAAACATATAGTAAATTTGTTAACTTCGGGTCTACAAGCAGTTCATATATATTTTTAATTAAATTCTCAAAGTAAAACAGAAAAAAAAAAAAGCACACATAAAACTCAGCTTCTGGTGTTTGTTGACTTGGTTAAATGAATATTTAGTATTAATAAGTTATAATAAATCTTAGGTTTCCTATAATCTTCAGAAATTTCATTTGAAAAATCTTCTCATCCTGACTATGACAATTTTATAAATATATACCCAAAAATAAAGTGTCGTATGTACGTGTCTTGGGTGTTGTTCCTACTTAAATTGATTTCTCTGTTATATTCTTCATATCTTAATGGTCGTCCTTATCAAATATTTATCTTCTTCTTTCTGTCGTTATAATTAATTAAGCTTCTTTGAAAGACTGAAACCATATTTAGTGGGTGTTTATCTGAGCTTATGAAAATTAGTTTATAAGTATTTAAAATTTTAAGTAATTACGTGTTTGGTTAAAATACTTATAAGTGACTGATAAATAGTTGACGTATTTAATAAAATATGACTTATAAGTACATTTTATTATAAAATAACTAAAAAATATACTACATTAAATAAGGGTATACTATGAAATTTTAAAATTAAACAAGGATAAT